CTCTGTCTCTCGCTCCCTGACTTGCTCTGTGGTCTCTTTCACATGTGCTCCCACCATAGAGATTCCATCTGCTGTGAGACCCTCCCTAGAGCTGAGCAGATGCTGGCACCATGCTCCTGAATCTCCAGAACTGTAGCTAAATAAATGTATTGTCTTTATCAAGTATCTACCCATAAATATTTGGTTAAAGCAACAGAAACAGATTAATACAGCATGTGAGTGCCACTCAGCTTGGAGGATCGTGAGCAGCACTGGCATAGAGGTTCCTCAAGAATTTTGATGATACTTGTATGAGTTCTGTTGGTACATATATAGTGGGGCCCTTGCTAGTCACAGTTAAACACTTACTAGCTCTAAGATATATTGCTAGGGTTTGCCAAATGTTTGCATAAGTTTCAACCCATTGGGTGCTCCTATTTTTAATTTTATGGTTTTGTAGGAGAAGAAAATACTTTTATTAATCATAATGTAACACTGGTCCACATTATGCTTTGAATATAGCCCTTGCTGCTCTGCCACAGCAACTTATTTTTTAAAAGGTCGAGTTTCTTTCTCTTTCTCTCTCCCTGCTCCTCCCTAATCTCTCCCTCTCCCTAATTTTAGGGAAAACAAGATTATCTTTCGTCCTCCTTTTAGGTAGACTTATCTGTACACACCCACCATAAGAATGAAGTAATTGGCCTTGGAAACTGGGAATATAACCCAGGGACAGTAAACCACTGAGCCACATCCCAGGCCCTTTTTATTTATTTATCTATTTATTTTGAGACGGTGTTTGCTAAATTGTCTAGGTCCTCTCTAATTGCTATGGGTAGTCTTGAACCTGCGATCCTCCTGCCTCAGCCTCCCAAGTCGCAGGGCCTACAGGTATTTACCACTGCACCCTGTGTTGATCCTGTAGATAGTCTCTTGGGAAAGATCTTGGAGTTGGAGTTGGTTTGTCAGAGGAGAAGTATATGGAAAAAATTCTGTCTGCACAGGCATTTATAGGATCCCACTATAAGGAGTCTGAACAGTCAGGAACTAAGTTGAGGATGCACACAGGCGCTGCCTCTGGAGTACAAGGTCCTGCCTCTGGTGTTCAAGGTCCTTGATTCTCAGCCTGGCCCCAGGTAGCTTCCAATCTGCTCCCTGTGGATCAGGGATGCCAGCCCTGGGATGGGGAATAAAAGTCTTAGAAAAGCTGCCTGGGATGTGGAAAAATGGTCAGAGAGAATCTGACTTCCAGCCCTGACTTTCAGCCCCCTTTGCTGATGGGATTTAGAGGCTGCTGGCCACAAAGAATGTGGCAACACTTTCAGCACTGTTTATAACCTGGGCTAGTCTCCTCTTTTAAGGTCTAACGGGACACCCCATTTGGCCAGGAGATGTCCATCACCAGGGCAGAGCAATTTTGCTATGACAGTACCCATCAAACTAAATGTATGGGGAGACTGGGAGGATAAACAACTGCACCCAGAAAAGATAAAAGCAAACTAAGGTCAACCCACATTTTGTTGGCAGCATCTACAAAGGGATCTTCAAGGAAGCCTAAAGAAAAGGATGGAAAGGGCCTCCCCCACCGCATACCAATATGTCTAGCCTTAAAAAAGAAAAAGAAATGCTCAAAGGAGTCTCTGGGTACAAATGACAGTGGGGAACTCACTTAAAGCATTGTGATAATAATAAGGGAGACTGGTTAGAATCAAAAATATCCTGTGCTCCAACTCCTTGAATGCAACCTTGGAAAAAAAGACCAAGGCATGGCTTTTGTTCATGTCAGATTTTCTGATCCCTCTCCTGAGAGAAAATTTTTTGTGTGTGAATTAAATGCACAGATAACATTGATAACAATTATTTCAGAGTATGAATTTAAAAAGGGTCTAAAACTAGAAAAAAGATATAAGAAGGTTGTAGACATAGAAATATATTTTAGTATGGAAAATTAGAAGGTTAAAAAAAATGTTTCTGGATGAGAAGAGTTTTGTATGGCCAGGTAATATTATGCTAAAATCCATGATGAAAGGGAAGATAGAACTAAGGATGGAAATAAGCGTAGTGTGTGAAAGTAAGTTGCAGAGGTTTGTAGTACATCTCAAAAAGCTTGTGTGTTTGTGTGCTTATATTGGCTATTTAAATTTAAAATTTAAAGCTATTTAAATTTTAACATACTAATATGAAGCATAGTCTGAAACATTGATCTGCTCTTATCTATTGAGGTAATTTTATTTTTATCTGTAGATTTTATTATTTAGAAAACTAAGTCTTAAAGGAATTAGAGTTTGTATTTTTTAAAAATATCTTTTTTTTTTTTGGTTTTAGGTGGACACAATATCTTTACTTTATTCTTATGTGGTGCTGAGGATCGAACCCAGTGCCTCACGCAGAGTAGGCGAGCACTCTGCCTCTGAGCCACAACCCCAGCCCGAGTTTGTATTTGTTTTAAAGTCTTGGGGCTGGGGATGTGGCTCAAGTGGTAGCGCGCTCGCCTGGCATGCGTGCGGCCCGGGTTCGATCCTCAGCACCACAAACCAACAAAGATGTTGTGTCCGCCGAGAACTAAAAAATAAATATTAAAAATTCTCTCTCTCTCTCTCCTCTCTCACTCTCTCTTTAAAAAAAATAAAGTCTTTCAAATGATTACTTCATAATTGGTTAAATAAACAACAGTTATTTTAGGTCATGAAAATATAGTTATGACTTAAACAGGGGATAATATAGTTATCCCCTAAATATAAGTGACTAGATATATGTATACATCTGAGAACTATATCTGTCTTAGCCTTGTCTAAGTGTCATATAAAAGTTTATGTAGATTTACCATGAAAGTAAGTAATACGTGATCTCCTTGATGCATTTCATCTGACATAGAAGGGCCACACTGCCATTGGAAGACCTGGCTTATATCTGTTTGCCTTGACTAAGTCTATCTTTGATCATTAATGCTTTTCCAACTGTATAAGATTTAAGGCTATCCTTTGATTTTTTGCTGGTATTGCTAACCTATGCAGACCTGTTATTATTGTTACCAGTTCTGTGATCAGACCAGTCCAACCTTCTAAAGAAGACAATTTCTAAGATTTCCAGGCACTTATGTTATGTTGTTCCATTATCATCTAAAGGAAACAGTGTTGCTGGATTTAAGGTGGACACAATTTTAAAATTGACATTGGGGTTGTCCAATAGCATGGCTTGGTATCTCCCTATTCTCCAGCTGTTAACCACTAGCTACCCTGCTGTTCTAGACTTGTTGAAGGAAAAACACAGGGATGGGTTGTCCTAGAGTGACTTTTAAGCCTCTCTAGTAAATCACAAGTGGCAGTAACTGCCCACGGGCAGGCAGGGCATCCCTTTCGCCGTGTGGTTAAACTGTTTTGACAAATAGGCCATTGGCTGTGATGTCTCACAGTGTCTATAAGAGAACTCCAAGGTCTATACTTTATTTCTCATGCACATATTATCTGAATTCCTTTGATAAGTCAGGTAGGTCCAGGGCAGTACCTGTCATGAGACTATATTTTAACTCTTCACGCAGCTTGGTATTCTGGGGTCCAAGTCCTGTTTATGTCCCTTTCAATGCCTTATACAAGAGTTTTGTTATTAGTCCAAAATTAGGGATCTAGATACAGTAGAATCTTGCCATTCCTGCATAATTGCCTCTGGGTCCTCAGTTCTCTAAGTTTCAAGATAGCATGTTTTCAACCTGACATCAAACTTTAGGTTTCTTGGCTAATTTGGAATCCTAGATGAGTGACTTGTTATTTGCAAATCTGAGCCTTTTTAGTGGACATCTGGTGTCCCACACACCAGAACACACCTATTCCTGCTATAAGCTCCCTTCCCATACTGTGGGAGTCCTATCTCTTCTCACTTAAGAAGATTCTGCTCCGTGTATTCTTCCCTTCTATTATTGTGCATGGATTTTATTCTTCAAATTTGTAAGACAAGAACCCAGAAAGAAATTGGTGAAGCAGAGAGCCTAGTTTCATCTCAAAACTCCAACTTCAAAATGAGGGAGTTAAACTGGGTGTGGTGGTACAGCCCTCTAATCCCAGTAGCTTCGGATGTTGAGGCAGGAGAATTACAAATTTAAGGACAGCTTCAGCAATTTAGTGAGGCTTTAAGTAATTTAAAGAGACCCTGTCTCAAAATAAAAAGGGCTGAGGATTCGGCTCAGTGGTAAAGTGACCCTGGGTTTAATCCCTGTACTGAAAAAAAAAGAGAAGACTATCTTTTTTGATGTTGGCAGGAGGAGGTTCATTTGATGAGTGGGGGATCTTGCCGGATCTAGCAACACATAAAATGCACCATCCTGGATACTGGAGACATACAATTTAAGGATCAATACACCCTCTTTCTGTGCCACAGCCACATACACCGGGAGGAACTCAGCACATGGGAAGATGCTCCTCCGCTTCCCACCACACCAGGGAGACACAGTAAACTCCTGCAGGAAGCCTACAGGAGACATCTCTGACTCCTTTCTTTGGGCCTGGTCTCCCTGCTGGTGAAGCCCACACAGGCTGCAGCAGCGGGGAGCTGGGCAGCACTGGGCTCCCTTCAGGGCACAGCCTGGCCCCGACCAAACTGAACCACAGCACAGCCCCCCTAACCTCTCCTGGGATCCCAGGCTGAACTCAGCCCCCAGGATGGAGGACACAGGTCTTTGGTGTCAATGCCAGAGACAAGTCAGAATTACCTAGTTATGTTAGATATTCCTTAAGCTTGGTTCCCACCCTGACCATAAAAATGGGAATCTCTGACAAAAGGACATAGAGAGATATTTTCAGAATGTCTCAGCACTCCTATGAGAATCCAGGGTTGAGCACAACCAGGGGGGCAAGTCACGTTCACCTCCCATTTTCTGCCTTCTCTTTGAAACTTTGCCATCAATCCAAAAGGAAGAAAGAAACAGGCAGCAGCTGCTGTGTGGATAAAGGTTTGGCAGGGTGTGGCTGCAGTGTGACTGTAGCTGGGGAGTCACAGGAGTCTCCATGGAGCAGGTGATGTCAGAACAAAGACCTGAAGGGTAGGCCACCTGCAGCCCAGGGGCCACAGAAGGCTAGGGAGAGGGACAGGACCCAGTGAAGTTCCTGAGGCTGGAGAAGCTTGTGTCAGGAAAACGAAAGCGGCTTGTGTGGCTGGAGGTGAGTGAGCAGGACACAGAGGCCCTGGGGAATCACAGCAGGCCCAGGTCTTCCCAGTTTTTGTCTCCATACCTTAAAAGAATTTTGGACATCATGTGTTTTCTTACTCATTTTAAGGGAACATACAATTTTTTATCACATAAATTAAAACACTTATAAATAATTGAACATCATCTGTATGCTAAATACATAAAATGCAGAAGGCTGCCCGGGGAATGCACATGAGTTAACTCAGGAAGTCACTTTGGATATCTGCAAATGCAGATGGCTAGTAGACACCTAAGCAGAGATGTCCAGGAACCCAATGGACACAGGACCCTGAAGTCCAGGGAGAAACCAGGAGAAGAGGAGAAAAGGAAACACGTACGTGTTCTCAATGTCATGAGATGAGCCGATCTGGAGAGAAAGTGGGTATAGACGGGATGAGAAGGGGTTCAAGGACTCAGCCTTTGGGACATTCCATATCCAGAGGCCATGGCCAAGAAGAGGGTGCACTGATTCTGAACATTTAGGATTGACTTCCAAAGACTCATGTTACCTGAGGAAGAATCCCAGAGAGTCAGTGTTCAGGAGACACCAGCAGAGGAGACTGAGGTAGGAAGGAAATCAAAACTAGTAGAAAGCTATTGTCAGGAAAAGAAAAAGAGAGAAAACTAAATACCGGATTTAGAAACGGGGGGTGAGGGTGGAGCGGGGGGCCACTGGTGACTCTGAAAAAGAAAGTATCAAATGTGAGTGGGACACATTGCTGCACTCCTGTAATCCCCGTGACTCAAGAGGCTGAGCCCCCCCCCCCAAAAAAAAAAGAGGCTGAGGCCAGAGGATCACAAGTTCAAGGTCAGGCTCAGCAAATTAGTGAGTCCTTGTCTCAAAATAAAATAGAAAGGGCTAAGGATGGAGCGCAGTGGCAGGATGCCTCCCCTGCATGTGTGTAAGGCCCTGGGAGAAAGGAAAGAAGAAAGAATGGATAGCAGTTGTGAAAGCTTGATTGGAAGGTCCAAGTGAAAATTGGAGGCAAGAATTGAAGACAGTATAAGCAAATTTTTTTTGTCTTAAATGAAACAGAAGAGGTCTACTTACTACAAGAAAAAACATAATTAATACCTCCCAATAATATCCTCATAATGCTAGGAAACCCTGCAAACCCCAATAACTTGTGAATCCATAAAGGTACCAACGAGGTATAATGATCTTGGTTCCAACATAGGTACCATCAACATCTGCTAATTCAAGAGAAATGAGGCACATACTCAATGAGACCCTGACATCACCAGAGGAAACACTCCAAATTGCCCTTTCTGTCTGCCAAAATGTATCTGAACCTTGAATTTCATCTGCAAACACTTCAAAAGAACAAAGGTAACCCCTAAAATGATCTCTGAGATTTTCCCCTTACTGTTTCCACAAGTTTCCTACAGAAGCCACCACATGGAGTCCATGCTGTGGTGTGTCTGTAATTCACCTTCTCAGGGTTAAAGTGCCCCTCCTCCTGCTGCCCAAACTCCTTATAGGCTCAGCTTAGGTCTTGGTTCTAATGAAATTACAGGATGACTTTTCTCTCTGCCTAATTTATCTACTACTTCATTCCTCAGGTGTGACCATGAATTTCCTGATTCACCTGCTGCATGTATAGCTCAGTCTGAGCTAAGAAACTATAGCACTCCAAAACAATCCATGCAACCCACATCCACCCACGAACCCACTTCCAGGTGCACCAGCCACATCTGAGACATTTCTTCCTTTCAAAGATCCGAAAGAACAAGTTCCAATTAAAACCAGTAGGCATAGGCCAAGATGACCTAGTGTTGCCTTTAGGTCTTTGGCATGTCATTATAATAGTAAAATCCACTCCCCCTCCACCATGGGTTTTGCTTAGGGTACCCACGGGTGAGACCATGCATCATAAGGACTTAAAGATCTGATTCAATCCTAATGTCAATCAAAAAGTGGTACTTGGGTGAGACTCTCTAGAATCTTCCTTAAGATGGATAAAACTAGGAAACAAAGGGGGCATTATTTAAAATGTTATTTAAATAACATCTATTTTTCTCCTAATCCCCTTTTTCCTCCCAAGTCAGGCCACAGAGATTAGAACCCCACTCTCCCAAAGCCAGCCATAAAACCTAGGAATATTACTCCCCCCACAACTTTTTGTGTAAGAGTTGACCATAGAGAAATTCTCTGACCTACCTTGTTTGATAATGAATCATAAGACCCTCATTCCAGAACAGATTCTGCTTTGTATCTGGGAGGAAGGATTGTCACACAGAGAGACCAGGCCTTTCTGGGTTTCCCTCTTACTCTACTACCATTAGATTACAGCCTTTGTTCAGTCACATTTCCACACAGCTACCTGCTCGTCATTGAGTCTAAGTGTAAAAATAGTTTGAGACTTTGGGTCTTAAATTTTGAAGACTCCATGTCATGTAAAACTGATTAAATAAATGTCACGTTTTCCTCTTGCTGACCTTTTGTTTTACTAGTGCTAGCTGTGACTCTTAAAATAGGTGGGTTAGGTGTCAAGGTCCTGTCCCCCACCCCTGCAGCCCCCCATCCTTGACCTCATTGTGCCTTCTATCCATAACCCAAGCTGACTTTCACTTGCGTTCCCCTTCAGGGTCAACCCCAGGACACAAAAGAGGCCCTAGAACCGTATAGCCCCTGGTTGGAAAAAGGACAGAGAAGGAAAATTGAAGAGACTGATCTGCTTTTTCAAAGAAAAAAAAAAAAGAAGGTCCCTTGTTACTTCAGGCGTTTTTTTAGCAAGCCCTCCAAAGAGGAATGTAGGAGCCCTAGTTACATGTGATAAGATTAGGAGCAAAGGAATGTTGTAAGAAAGGAGAAGAATGGTCCCCTGATAGTGAATTCCTGCAAGATTAGACTCTGAGGAATTAGTGTGAAAAATAGGAAATCCACTGGTCCATTTTCAGAATATAGTATTTGGCCTTAATTGGTTCAGTTATAACCATTTTAGTTATAGCCCTTCCCTTTGCCCACCCCAATTTCAAAATGAGCAAATCACATAGATTATAACCACAGCTCCTCCCGTCAGGGCAGGGGGACTGCCTCCCCATGTGTGCTGGCTCACTGGACTCCCTCTGGGGGACACTCTTCTGTAGAAGAATGATTTTTTGGGGGGGGGGCCTTGCTGACCCACTTCAGGGCATGTGTTTGATTTCTTGTGGCACCTTGATATTTCTAACATCATGACACAACATCTAGCAGAATATGCTTATAATAGGAAGACTCACCTTTGCATCATGATTTCCAGGTACACATGACCTCGTATGCAGTAAGTCCTGAGAGAATCCCATTGCACCTGTGATTGTGCTGGTCAGGAAAGGCGGAGTCCATGACTCAAGAAGTTCCCCAACAACACACCCACGTCAGAACCTGAAGTTCTAACTACTACATCTCATGCCACCTGCCGACTGGCAAGACTCATCCCAGGCCACCACTGTTCAATTCTGGTGGCCCTGCAGACCACACCAGGGAGGACTGTCCGGGGCTCTGATTCCTTCCCATACAGTCTGCTTTCCAAGAGGCTCAGGCCCAGAAGGTGGCATCCTCAGAGACTTGGGATCTGGAGCCCATGGAAAGGGCAGGTAAAGAGGCGGCCCCAGGACAGCCAAGGACTGAATGGGCAGGATTTTAGAGTTCCATGTTTGACTTATCCTGAGAGATAAAGATAGAAGACTGCAGCCCAATTCTCAAAGTCCTCTCTCTATGCCAAGGGAAGATTTTTCTTATTCATGAATGCACCATTTTTCTCCATCAACTCATGAAGGTCTGTATTCTTTCTCTATTATTCCTTTTACATGTATGTATATGTGCGTGTGTATGTGAGTGTATATATACATACATACATATATACACATATATACACACATATATACATATATACACATGTATACACACACACACACATATATATATATATGTGTGTGTGTGTGTGTGTGTGTGTGTACACGATTTTTATTCCTTAGGGAACTCAAAGAAGAAAGCTGATATACATGTGAGCCTCAATTGATTTTTCAGTCAATGGTCCTCTGCTGTGACCCACCATGAGCATCATGCTCCATGAGATAGGATTCTTCTCCCTGAGACCACAGTGTCTTTCTTTCCCCTGTGATCCGAGGCTTCCAGAGGTTCTTCATTGCTATGCACATCAACACCTTCACAAATACAGCCTTCCTAACACAGGAAGGTGGCCTATGAATAGTCAAGGTTGGACCCTTCCTTTGCAGGGATCCTATAACCACTTAATAACCTCCTCCAGGACCACTAGAATAGGCTAGAATGTTTCCCAGAGCTATCTACAGCACATACAAACGTCAAAAGTGTAGGACTAAAGCTCTATTCCTCACTCTGATCCCCATCCTGCCCAACCTTATTCTCTAGAAGAATGACCTTCACCCTTTCCGAGAGTCTGATCTCAGATATCTCTTAGATGATGTCCATGACTAGGTATGACGTGCAATAGGCAAACATAGCTTTTTCTGGTTGCAGGATCTAGGACTCTCTTAAATATTTCTGATTTCCTCAAATACTGGTTAAAAATTGATTCTTCTCTAGATCGTAGAAAAACAGAAGCGCCAACCCACACAGCAAATATAGAATTTATATAGAATTTATGCCCCATGGAATCCAGCTTGAGTTCAACTATGGGTGCTAAATGTCCTCAGAGCAAAGAAACAGTTTTCTGATATTTGAAGTACACTTGCTGGCACTGTTGCCTGGAGCTTCCAAATGAGTGGCATGTTCCTGACGAGAGTTCTGTGGCAGCATCACAGAAAGAAGAAACAGCACAAAGAGTTCTATAGGGTGGGAAAAGAGATTAAAAGGAGGTCCCATCCAGCCTGGGTTACCAGGCCTCACGTCTGAGGCCTTTCACTCTTCCCTGGGCCTTCTTTTGTCCCATGTCCATCCTCATATCAAATGTAGTCCTTGGTAGAGCTCCATTTATTCTACATGTAACCCAGATACCAGATGGTCCTAGCATCACTATTGGAGAGTTAAGAGTTTAACCCTGCCAGTATCAGTACTGAAAATCCAGAAATATTCTGCAAATTTTTGTTAATTCCCAAATATTCAGAGTCTTGGATCTACCATGTCCTGTTTGGGCTTCCCTGTATGATACACTTTTACTTTAACTCAGCCCTTTCTTCTGGTGTACCTCAAAGAAACCACTTCCATAGATGCCTCCGTGAGCCATTTGGCTGCCTCCTGGGGGCCGAGATCCATCCAGCCCCAAGGGAAACACACCAATAACTTTAGTGTAATCACTTTTCTCCAGAGCCCTTCCTGGGCTGCTCTGCCAGTTAAGGAATCACAGTTCTTTGCTCTCTACCTATGTAGCCTCTCACCCTGCTATCCCACACTTCTCTCCTCTGCTCCATCTCACCCATCTCTGCTTCTGTAGTCTCCATTTTTGTAGATAAATTCTTGTCTCCCAAGTCCATTCCCTAGTCTGTATGCTTGAACCCATCCTGATCTGGTGAAAAGTGAGTCGTCTACTTTAATGCAATCCAACCTTTTTTTTTTTTTTATACTGGGGATTGAACCCAAGGGTGCTTTACCTCCTAGCAACATCTTTTTACTTTTGGTTTGATACAATATTGCTGAGACTGGCCTTGAACTTGTGATCTTCCTACCTCAGCCTCCTGAGTCACTAGGATTCCAGGGCTGTACCACCATGCCCCACTACAATTCAAACTCTTAAAGAAAATTAGTTATATACAGCATTACAGTATGAGTTTTCTGTTTTGTTTTAAAGACCACTTTCTTGGGGTATGTTTGACATATAAAAAGTCATAGATGTTAATGTATATAACCTGAAGGGAGGTAATTTACTTCCATAAAACTATTATCACAATATTATAAACACACTTAGCACCTTCAAAAGTTTCCTCCCACTCTCTTCATTTTCTTGAGATTTTTTAAAAAAATTTCTGTGGTAAAAGCACCCATACAATCTACCTTCTTAGCAAATTTTAAGTGTATAATGTAACATTGTTAATCAATGCCCTACAGGTACAGTACCTCTCCAAAACATATTTATCATGAATCACTGAAATCTTGTACCCTTTGATAAACGCCTCCCCATCTCCCCCTTCCTCCAGATCCTGCCAACCATCACCATTCTCCTTTCTGCTTTTGTGAGTGTAACTAATTTAGGTTCCACTTCTAAGCAAAACCATACAGTATTCAACTTTCTGTGTGTGACATTTCAATTTGTGTGTCTTTTCCAGGTTCAGAGATGTCCTTGCAAATTCCAGAATTTACTTCTTTCATAAGGTTGAATAATATTCCCCATGGTGTGCACATACAGGTGTGCTCGTGTGTGTGTGTGTGTGTGTGTGTGTGTGTGTGTGTGTGCGCGCGAACACTTAGACCCGTCTTCATGTTCACTGTGACAATGAACATGAAGTGCAGGTATCTCTTCAAGGTACTGATTTCATTTACTTTGGATATTTACTTAGAAATGGGATTGCTAGATCATATTACTGTTCTCTTTTTAACTTTTTGAGAAATACTCATTCTGTTTTCAGTATTAGACTTATCTTTTACATTTTCTTGTTTGTGATGTTTTTGTTGCTCCATTAGCAAATCATATGCACAGGTAGAATGATATTAACTAGCACATTCAGAGCCTGACACAGGGTATTGGAGATGCTTAAGAACATGGCAGATTTTAGTTTTAAGTTCTATCAATTTATCTTTTACCATTGATTCAACAAATTATTTTTTAATTTAATTTCTCTTTTATTTTAAGTTCTATTAATCTGGAATTCCTGGGGCTGATCATGATCAACTGACAAATACCCATGATACTTAAGGTAGTACCAATGGAAATGCTTCTGATCACTCTAAGAACATTGAACAAAGAAAAGGAATTCTAAAATGAACAAGTTATATCAAGATGGGGGAATAGCCATTCCAAAGAATTAATTTTTTGTTGTTGTTTTGGTATCAGAATTGAATCCAGGGACTGAGACACATCTGCAACCCTCCCACCCCCATTTAAATTTTGGATTTTAAGACAGGGTCTTGCTAACTCACCAAATTGCTGAGGCTGGCTTTGATTTTGAGATCTTCCTGCCTTGGCCTCCTCAGCCACTGAAATTACAGGCAAAGGCCACTGTGCCTGGCAAGAACTTTTTTTAAAACAATTTTAAAACGCAGTGTTTTGTCTACACATTCCAAGTGGGAAACTTCTTTCTTCTATTTTTGATACCAGGCACTTGACCATTGAGCCACATCCTTGGCCCTTTTTATTTTTTAATGAATTACTGGGTCTCGCTAAGTTCCTCAGGGCCTCACTAACTTGATGAAGCTGGTTTTGAACTTGGCAAATACTCTTCCTTCAACCTCCCAAACCGCTGGGATTAGTAGCATATACCACTGAGAAAGGCGCCTAAGTGGGAAATTTCTTAAGGGCAAAGGAACTATTTGAAACTATTACACATATATTTTATATATTTTCCTAATTATAGATAAATACTAAGTTTTTTTTCAGCATAAGAGGAAAAAGGAGTATAAACATAAAATTGGAACATGGCAAATGAAGATCCCATAAGTTTTCATTTGAATTGGCATATTATTAAGATGAATTCATGATTAGAAATGTAAATGTGCAATTTATAAAATGCACATTTCCCTGAACTAGCAACTGAGAAGTCTAGATTTGATGGACAACCTACTAGCAACATACACCCTAGCCCCCAAATGCATTAGCTAAATAACACTCACGGTTCAAAGGAAATAGGGCTTCTTGAAGAAATGCATGATCTATGATAGTTCAAGGACCTTACTTCTGACAATAAGCAGCCTGTCTTAGGGGAGGGGCCTGAAATATGTTTGAAACGAGGGGAGGCAGGGAAGGGGGAGATTTTCGCAGAAATCTGGCGAGTGGTCAGGAATGGCACTCCGAGAAGAGTGCAGCTTGGGCAAAGAGGCTTGTTGGCGTGAAAAGGCAAGACTACTCCGGCAGCTCTAGTTTTCACCCATCAAGGGTGAAAGGGGAGTAGGAAGCGCCTAGGTAGGGGCTTGAGCGCCAGCAGGAGAGAACAGGGTTTCACCCCAAGCTGGGCTTCTACAAAAAGCAAAGACTTTCCCTCGCCCTCCCGCACAAGGGCGCCGGGAGGCGGTCCTCCAGCCAGACGAACCGCAGCTAAGCCATCCAGGACCCGCAAACCTGCGGGTCTCCACAAGACAAGCTACGCCTGCTCCCAGAGTTGCCAAAGGACAGATCTGCCTCCTCCCGCTCCCGGGTCCTCATTGGTCAGAAGCAACTGCTCGTCTCAGCCGTTGTTAGCAGCGACGTAGGCGGGTACAATCTTGGTCGCTAAGAAACCCCGTACTTCCGCTTCCTTTCCCCTATGGTAGGCTCGGCAAGCCAATCTCTTTCGTTCGCTCAATGGTAAATGGGCAGTGGGCGGGACTTCACTTGCCCGGACCAAAGAAGGGCGGGCTTGGCGTCCCGTAGCGCGGCCAATGACTGTGGGGCAGCCCCTGTAGAGTGGCTCGGGCGCCCCCACGTCTTCCTTTCCTCCTCCTCCCAGCTCTGCCCCTCCCTAACCCCGTAGCACAGCGCTGGCCGCAGTCTGACAGGAACAAGACGGAGCCAAGATGGCGGCGGCCGACGGCGACGACTCTCTCTACCCCATTGCGGTGCTCATAGATGAGCTTCGCAACGAGGATGTTCAGGTCCGGAGGCTCCAGGGGACTTGGGGAAGACGGGGAGGGGGTCACCGGGGCGCGGGAGGCCCTCGCGGAGAGGGCTGAGCGTTCGCTGGGAGTGGCGGAAGGAGACCGGGGCCAAACAACGTCCCGCTCTCAACGTTCCCGGTCGCCGGACTCCAAGAGACGGCGCCCTGGATTGGGTGTCGGCCCGTGGAGGGCGGGGGCCGGCGAGCCTCGAGGGTCCCGGGCCGCCGCGCGCTCCGCAGGCCTGGGATGGGGCGCCGCGGTCAGGGCGCCTCGGTGATTGGCCGCGGCCCAGAGTGCCCCGGTGGCTGGGCTGGGCGCGGGACTGGCGCGAGGCGGGCCGGGGGTCTGGGCAGCGTGGGCAGCTGGGGCCTGAGAGCGAAGGCTGCCATCCCCTTTCCTGTTCTCCCTCTGCGTCTAATTTTGGTGTAGATCCCCGAGGGGAGGAAGGCGTGAAAGCACTCCACTCCCGAGGGTAGGACTGGCCAAGTTCAGGGGTGATTCACGCCGAAACCCTGCTGCCCCCCGCTGCCCCTTAGCACAGTTTCCTTAGAGGACTAACATTTCTGGTGAGTGGGTCAGGGTGCCCCAGGCCCCTAATCCAGGCCGGCTTAGGTTTGAGCGGGTTTCAGACTTTGGTCCACCTCCCACCCTCCGAATGACCTTGTGCACGTTATTTCATGGCCCTGGGCTTCTATCTTCCATAAAATTGGGGCTAATAATAGTCTTCCCTTTATTGGGAGGTTGTGAGGAACTGAATCCGTAAAATAGAACGGTGCCTGGGTGCTTGGAAGGGCCCAGTAAATGTCACCTGTATTATTAGGATTGGCAATTGAAGAGGTCCATCCTCTAGTTAGGCCTGTTTCCCCTCTTATGAAGTTGTGCCAAGTGCACGGGGAAACCTGCTGAACCTGGCCCTGCCTTCTAGGTTCTGTTGTCAGGTAGAGTGCACTTACACATCCTGACTCTTCCACTTCTTGCTGATTGACAATGGGCAAGTTAGTTAATCTCTTTGAACCTTGGCTTTCTCTTTTCTCAAATGTGGATAAATATCTAGTTAATTGGACCACTGTATGAATTAATTTGTTCAGTGAACACCTGCCATGTATAGTGTTGGGCATATCATGGTCACACCAATTGCTGTCAGGATACAGGTATATAGCAGGTAAACAGAACTAAATATACAGTATCATTAACATGTAGGAAATGGTGAGAAGGAAACAAATGGGGTGATGTGATAGTGAATCAGCAAGTATTTGTTGGGCCTTTACTCTGGGCACTGAACTGGATACTGTTGTATAGCAGAGGACAAGACAGACAAAAACTTCTGGCCATGGGAGTTTACCTTGTAGTAGGGAAAACAGACAATGGACATTAGGTGAAATGTATGCTGTATTAGTTGAGGATATGTATGTGTGTTGGAGGATGTGATTTAAAGCATGGTCAGGGGAGGCTTTGATGTTTGAGCAAATACCCTACCATGAAGGCAGGGGAAGAATCTGTGGGGCTTTCTGGGCAGAGAGCACAGCAAGTACAGTATGGGGTGGGGGAATAGGCCAGTCAGGGAAGGTGCTTCTGAGGGTGCATAGTTGAGGATGGGACTGGATGAAGAGCCTCCAGAGGGAGCAGACTGTAATGGCTGTAGTTCTCATCTTGTGGTGATTTTGCCCACCAGGGGACATTTGGTGATGCCTGGAGACATTTTTGGATGTCATACCAGGGAATTGCTGCTGGCCTCAAGTGGGTGCAGGCAGATGCTATTAAACATTCTGCATACGTGGGACACTGACCCCAAAGCACAATAAAAAAATAATCATCCAAAATATCCTTAGTGCTAAGACTGAGAAAAGCTGATTTATGGGAGATTTGCCTTGAGGCAAGAAGGAGCTAGGTTATCTTTGGTTGCTGTAACAATTGCTATAAGCTTGTGATATTATAGATCACAAATTTATTGTCTTACAGTTCTGGAGATCCAGTCTGTCATGGGTATCACTGGACTTAAACTCAAGGTGTGGTCAAGGCTGCATTGCTTTATGGAGACTCTAGGGGAAAATCTAGTTTCCCTGTTTTTCCCCACCTTCGTAAGCCTGTCACATTCCTTGGCCCATGACTCCTTTCTCTATTTTGAAGCCAGCCACATTGCTTCTCTCCAGCCGTTCTACTCACATCTGCTTCTGACCACAGTCAGGAAAGGTTCTCTGTCACTCTCAGATAATGTCTCATCATCTCCGCATCTCAGCATCCTTAACTTTGATCACCTCTGCAGAATCTCTTTTGCAGTATAAGGTAGATAGATACTCACGGGTTCTGGGATTAGAACAGGGATATATTGATGGATCTCATTCTGCCTATCACAGTTACTATAATTAGAAAGTAGAGATTGAGGGGGAAAATCATAGGAGATTGAAGATGGTTCTAAAATATTTTCTTTTTGCTTTAGTTTTAAGTAATTAAATTTTTTTGTTACTTTTTTTTTCCTTGAGGTTTTTGAAGGGGTGCTATTCAGCAAGTATTTATTGGAGTACTTAACTGTGGGGACACAACAGTGTACCATGAGCAAAAAATGCTTTCGTGGAGCTCATTTTTTTGAGGCAGAC